TGCCCGAAGGGCAGTTGGCTGTCTGACTGAAGTGACAAAAGAAAGTATGCATACGTACGCCGTACATACATACACATACATGCATACATATTTACACGCTCACGTATGTACGTACGTACGCATGCACGTACGTACAGATACAAGCATACAAGCACACAAATAAACAGATGTACGGACAGACGGACAGACACGCACAGACATACATGCTTACATGCATACAACATACAACCAACTAAGCAACCAACCAGCCAACAAGCCAGCCAACCGACAAACCTAACAACAAAACATACGAACATACAAACCCAAGGATACTTATACATGTTCATGCAAACTCATACATCTACATGCTAGATATGCTTAGACCTGTCGTTCTCGCAGCCTTGGTACGTGTGCATCTGCAGATGTCCGGGAGTTCGACTTCTCCGTAAATAACACGGTTCCATAAGGCATTGGCGGCGTCCAATTCGAAATCAACGCTGGCTTCCGTTTAGCAGTTCCGAAAAGGGTATGTAACTCAATTACTCGTATGTGTATACAGATGTATATATATATGTGTAGATAGACATGTGCATGTACACACAGTTACGTAGGTAGGTAGGTAGGTAGACAGGCAGGTAGGTGGGTAGGTAGGTAAATGGGTAGGTACGTATATGTATATGTATGTGCATATGTACGTCTATGTATATCTCTGTATATATATATATATATATATACATATAAATTCACGTATGTATATACGTATGTGTGTGTACAAATATACACATCTTTCCTAGCCTGCGCCCCGTTAGACCCCAAAAGCTTCTGGCGGTCAAGGCGCCAGGACCACCAGCAAGAGAGACAAGAGGAGGATGCCAGAGGCCAGCGGCGACTGCTTCGAGTGTTCGGCGTCGGGCTGGGGATTGAGGGTCCGGCTGAGGTTCGTCGTTTAAGTGCGGGTTCTGCATGTCATGTGGGAGCACTTCTGGTTCTGAGTCGCGGAAGCAGGCCTGGAGAGTTGGTCAAGTTGAGGGTTCGAGGCCTTGGCATCGGATTGTCCGACCTTCAGCGTGCCATGAGTGTCGAAACCAGGCATACGACAAACATAGCTAACAACGTCATGTAAGGACAGGAATACGCACATACACATACGTGTATGCAGCTGCAGTAACCAAGTATGTACATTAGGCCTGCATACATAGCAGACATCTCGACCAAATACATCGCTGGAGCCTGATCCCCGACGAAAAGGCATCCCAGTGCAGTCAACCCAATCGCGCAAACACCTGCTTAAGAATCCTAGGCCTAGCACCCTGAGCCCTATTATTCGACGCCTGAAGTTTGACTTACTGCATGTCCCGCCCTTAAACCCCAACAGCCAAAAGTTGGAAGCTTTGGCCTGAAACCTTAAAGCTCAAAACCTGAGACCCCGCTTTCAGCCCAAATAAAACAATAATAAACCCTGAACAAAACCGCATATAAAGTCTCATACTACCACTGGACCACATAGAGCACTGTATATAGAACCCAACCCTCGACATTCTGAAATCTCACACGCTCTACAGTAAGAGCCAGAAAGTTGGAACATCATGATCCTGATTCCGCTAAGATAAAGGTATACTGGAATCTCTTCACTGCTCAGCCCAAACCCATGCTCCAACTTTCTTGAATCCACAGTAGAGTAGTTGTCAAAATTAGGGTCCCCTTTTGGGTACCCTAAATAATAGGTGCCGTAGTATAATAGGGACCCAAAAAGGGACTCTAATTCCGACAACCACCCACTATAGGACTCCAAACCTCAACGTCCTGAAATGTCCCGCCCGCAGGGGGGACTCTGCCGGAGGTGGTACACTCACGGGCGCGGCGGCCTGGCTCGGAGGCTTTAAACCGAAGCAGCCTGGCTCCGATGGGTTCTTGCTGCAACCTGTCCTAAAGGATAAACCCTAAAATCTTTCTGCTACTTCACAAGAAGGGACATAACAGCCACTCCATGGGTCCGATGAAAATCCGGGCTACCGTATGATCGAACCCGGCACATTGCAATGCCAAGCGGTACCCACTCCAAACACGCACTGAACACCTGCAGAACCGAGCACAGTCGATCCGGCAAAGCTGACAGTACCCGCTGCAACCGGATGTCCCCAGCTCAGTTGATACAAGAATCCGACAAAGCCGACGAGTCATGTTTTAATCCCGGAACCCCGAACCCTAAACCCTAAACCCCAAAACCCTAAACCCAAAACCCCTCGAAGAAAGGAGCCACGGGCCTCGACTCTCGGCACATGGCCTAGGATCAAGTTTGTCGGGCCTTTGAGTGTTTCTTGGCTGATAACTTCGGAGATCACCAGCAGAGGCTCTTCAGAGCCCGGGTTCAGGATTTACGTAGAGTTTAGAGTTGGGTGGATACATGCTTCGGTGGCGGCCTTGGTCATTCCCCACTTGAGCTTGCATTTTCCACCTTACTGCGCAGGCTGAGGAATCAGAAGCAGAAGATGCCATTGCCGTTAGCACTTCAACTTCTGTT